TATTTTGCCTCTACAACCCTTCTCCATAAAGCTTCTTTCTCCTCTAATAACCTCCATCTCCATTTTCCTAGAAGTGCCAGGTTAAAAGTTCCTAAATTCTTTACCCCTAAGCCACCCTCATTTTTGGTCCTACACACGTGGTCCCATCCCACCCAAGCTATCCTATTTTTCTTCTCACAACCCCCCCAAAGAAATCTTCTTTGAATAAGGGATAAAAGATTAATTACCTTTTTGGGTGCTTTAAGTGTTGAGAAGTAGTAGACCGGGATACTCGAGAGGACGGCATTAAGGAGAATTATACGCCCACCGAAGGATAGAGTCTCACACCACCAAGATGATAACCTCTTTCTTAAACATTCAATAATAGGAGACCAAGTGGAAAGCTTCCTTGAGTTAGCTCCAACTGGGACACCCAGGTATTTGAAAGGAATTGTGCCCACCATGCAATTAAGCATATCAGCCATAGCAGATAGATCCTCATCATTCACATGAATGCCAGATAAGGAGCTTTTAAAAAAGTTCACCTTTAAACCTGAGATTAACTCAAAACTCCTGAATATGCACTTTATCGCCCAAGCATTATCTGGGGATGCCTTGCAGAATATCAATGTATCATCCGCAAACTGTAAGTGACTAAGTTGCACCACCCCTGAGCCCACTGTAGCTGCTTCTAACAGTCCTTCCTCTACTGCTTTGTTTATTAAGCCATTAAGAGCCTCTGCCACCACTAGGAATAGGAATGGAGTTAAGGGGTCACCTTGCCTTAAGCCTTTTGTCATTTGGAACTCCTCTGTGGGGCTTCCATTAACAAGTATTGAGACAGATGCAGAAGCAAGGCATTCTTGAATCCAGGTTCTCCATAATAAGCAGAAGCCCAGTTTATCCAACATAACATCTAAGAATTCCCAGTTAACACTATCATATGCCTTTTCAAAATCAGCTTTGAAAATTAGAGTTGGCCTTCTCCTCTTCTTTGTCTCATGGATCAGTTCATTAGTGGTGATGATGCCATCTGCAATTTGCCTGCCTTCTATGAAGGTTGACTGATTTGGATTGATAATAGATTTCATCACGCACCTCATTCTGTTAGCTAAAAGCTTTGCCAAAATTTTATACATGCATCCAATAAGGGAAATTGGCCGATAATCTGCTAAGCCCAGTGGGTTCTCCTTTTTGGGAATCAACACTATAAAAGAGGCATTGCTACCTTTCACTAGCTTCCCATTAAAGTGAAATTCTGATATAAATTCGCAAATATCTTTCTTTAGGACTGGCCACTAGCTTCCCATTAGTGGGTTCTCCAGGGAGTTGATCTTGATTCCAATCATGTGTGCCTTTTGTGGGATTCATTTGGAAGATGTTCATGTGTTTGCTACGTGCAAATGGGCTCACAACCTTCGGAGTCGTATATGCTGCTGGTGGGGTTTTACTCTTGTTCATCTAAACAGTGCTTTCCATCTGCTTCTTTAGCCCAATTCTTTACTGGACTTTAAGAAATCATGCATGGCATTGTTGGGTCCATACTATCTTAACAACTGCTTGGACCAACTGGTATGTCAGAAATAGAATTGTGTTTAAGAATTTGTCATGGGATGAAAACAACTTAGTTGATCTTGTACAATCAAAGATTTTTGGTTGGATTAAAGGGGTTCCTAACCTACTATGTTTTGCTATAGGATTGGTGTCAGTTTCTTCACCTTTGTGCAAAGGAATCATAACTCCCCTCAAACTCTTGGTTTCCTCTTACCTTTATAAGGGTAAGTATTTCTTGCACTCTTTTTAATATTATTTATTATTATAAAAAAATTGTTAATAAATCTTTAATAAGGGTATTTTTTATTCTTCAAACCAAGACTATGGTTTTTCGATGCAAGGCAAGTATAAAAAACTTTTAAGATTTTCATTTCACCTTTTTAGGCTGGTGTAAACTTTTCAAAAAAATGTTACCGTAATAAGATTAAATTATTTGATAGTTATATATATATATATATATATGATAGGAAAGTAGAAATTAAGATATTTTAACATTAAAAATATCAAAATATTTAATTATAATCATTAAATATGTAAAATATAGAGTGCATTTGGAATTGCTATAAAGTGCTGTGATTGTATTTGTGAATGTAGCTATAACTATATTAAATTGTACTATACTATAATTGTGATTAAAAGTTATCGTGGTATTTTGGTTATTTATTTTTTAAAAGTAGTATAAATAAAATATAATATATTTTATTAATTATTAATTAAAATTTTAAAAATATTGTAAAATATATAACTATTAAAATAGATAATATTTACTTTTTTAATAATTTAAGTTTTTAATTTGTTATTATTATTAAAATATTATAAATTATGATGTAATTAAATTATATAAAATTAGATTTTAACGTGTAATTTTGTAATTATATTAAATATTAAGTGTTTTCTATAAAAATTATAACTAGAATACTCCAAAAATGAAACTTCTAATTTTATATATAAAATTACTGTAAATCTACTATAACTTTTTGCAGTTTAAAAAAAAATAGTTTAAAAAAATTACTAAATACGTATATATTTAAAAGTACTGTATTATTACATAAAAAAACTCTCAAGTCCAATTCCAATCGCACCAATAGAGTAAGATCTAATTTTATCCATCTATCATGTGATTATTAATAAATGTTTTGAGATTTTTAATACTGGGACCTCATAAATTGTCCTTTTCTCTAATTCTAATTATTCTTTGTTAGCTATTTATTTGGGTGTTTGTGAAATTGAATTATGGTAATTAAAAAATTTTAGTTAGTACTATTAGGTGCATTTATTTTTTAGTATATTTGATGATAAATTATACATTAAAAAAATTTGTTCAAAATTTAACAACCTCCATGCCCAGATGTGAATTGAAAACTCCATCTCCAATTTCAGGTCTGCCTCTCTCAAACAATCAAGTATCAACTTTACTTTTCAAAATGTTATCTCAGTTGTAGCTGAGCCACGTTGATTTAATTCTTTGGTTTAATTCTCATGCATTGTTTTGCCTTTAGGCACATTTGGTTGGCCTTTATATCAAAAGAAAAATATGAGGTAACCGTATGAGCCAACAAGCTATGGCTTAGCTTAGAAAATTGAAAATCCTGATACAAAATTTGCAATTTCTTGTGTTCAGTTATCATATAAAGAAATAATCAGTTTTAAAAAATAAAAATGTAGTCAATTAACTACCTGAGGCTGAGAAGGTATTTCTTGTGTTTAGTTATTATATTATAGAGTACAAGGAAGTAATCAGTTTTAAAAGAATGTACGCAATCAATTTACTTACGTTCAGTGTTGAGCAGTGCGAACTACAATAACAATTACCATCATTGAAATGAACCTTTGATATGGAGGTTATCTTCATCTAATAGTTTCTATTTTGCACTTCAATATCTAAACCATAAAATAAAAAACTCTCAACTTATTCACTTTTCCAAACACATTCTTTAAAATTGAATCTCACAAAGTTTTCAAGGAAATAAGGGATCCAAACACACTGGCAAGAGTAGGTCCGAGATCATTGATCTTGGACATATTATATATATATATATTATCTAAATTGTTATGTTCCTAAGGCAGGCTCAAGCTCAAGTCACTTAACAACTGAGGTACGACCTAAGTTGATCTCTTATCAGTTGCATGATGGCTATGGTGAGAATGCACTTATCTAATCTCATTCTTGAGATGCCTGCTCTTATGGATACATTCGATTTCAATTATTTCATTAAGAATGCCACATGAATACCTCATTAAAACTTATAAATACTCCTGAAGGTCACTTACTACAAGTAATTGAAATCAACCTAAAGTTTTCCTTTTATTCTTTCTTTAAATAGATTGAATTATTATTGATTTAAGTACCAGAACCCTGAGGTCTAACCTCGGGATTTTGCAAGATTGCTCGAAGAGAAGACTTGGACTGGAAAAAACTTGAAGGTTTGTTGCAATTACAACACCCTTGATTCATAAGGCATCCAAAGAAGCTCTTGTGAAGGAGTGGTTATTTGTAGTTTCCCTGTTCCCCTTCGGTCCTCTCCCCTCCCCACCCCCCCACCCCATCTTTAGAAAAAGGGAAAGATGGCACAATACCACTAATCTATAATGCAATGTAAAACTCCGACACAAATTTCCTATGCCTAAATTGTGTAAAATGAAAATGTTTGTAGCAAGAGAAGTTAGAAGTATAGCAAGACAAATTTTGGAGCCAACTTCAAATGTGAAATATTTCAGAAATGATTTACTATAGTACAACCTTTTTGTTGGGGGGGCCAACCACCATGGGTCACTTTGGGTAGGTATTATTTTGTAAACTTATAACTAGCTTATCCTATCAAGTACCTGAATGCCTGAATGTTACACAAATGATTTCTGATTTTATTTTCATTGAAACAAATGGAGAAAATTACCTAAAATAAACTACCATCTTGATCTTTACAGCTCATGGCTTATCAGTTATGAGATGGTTACTCTGGAAGATAGCAGATACTTGTCTACAAAATGGTTCAAGAGGCATTCTCATGGAGAAACTTCCAAGAATCAGTCTGTCCTGGACTTGGATTTGAGTGAAGTAGGCACGACATGATGCACCTTAATAACTCACTCCAACTCCTTCAGGAAATCAATATTATCAACAAAAACCTGAAGAATCCAAGTACAAGGCAAGTCAATTACAACAAGAGGAAATAGCAGAAGATACAATTATAAGAGGAAAAACGGTAAAGCACAAAGAGATAGACGTTTAAAATTGTACTCATGGAAGCATGTACTGAATTGAAGGGGCTGGCTTGCCCAAATCATTAAATGTAAATGACCATTAACATATTTGCATATGTCAGACAAGTTAGTTGCCTTAAATTGTTATGATTAAAAGTTGGTTTGACCCCAACGATTGTCAAGAAGAACCCTTGCTTTGTTAGAATGTCAGAAGCAGAGGATTGTCCTCCTTCACAGGTTGGCTTGAATTTTTTTATTTTATTATTATTTTATTTATTTATTTATTTTTTTTTAACAAGGGGAATTTTCAGGGGAGAGGAACAACTACAAGAAACAACACCCCTCCATAAGAGTGTTGTTGGCCCAAGTAGAACTCAGGACTTTGGGGGCTACCAAGTCTAAAGTTGCCATGAACCACTAAGCCACAGTAGTTATCCACATACAAATCAATCTAGAGTCAATGAAAACAAGTTGGCTACATTAAAGAACAGAAACCCAATTCCATACATGTTGAGCATGTTCTCAAGTTAACATCCCCTGCTATGTCTATTTAGCTCCAAATGGGCAAATTTCCTATCAAAGGGAGGCACAGTAAGAACCTCAATACATCAGCATACATCTTATATAAAAATTGGATAAATTTGTAAAAGTTCTTTGACCAAGAAGCATTCATACAGAAGCTTTTAGGAAAGAACATACCGTCTTCCAACCATCAGGATCTAAGCATGCAGTGATCTTGGTGTTGATACCAGGTAAGGGTCCAGGTTCTCGAGTAATTTTTCCACCAACAAGTTTAATCGCTTCTGCGGTTTTATAAACATCATCTGTGCCAATTGCAATCTACCAAGGCACAAGAAATTAGCTTGTGATGAAGTTGAGAGAAGAGGCTGAAAAGTAGAACTCATAGTTGACATACAACATATAGTTCAATGCATCTCTGATGCCAATTGCGGTTATGCCACAAAGTTAAACTTTGTCAAACAGGTCTAAAGAGAAGGACAAAAGAGGAACCAGATTACCTGAGCATAAGCATTTCCTTTTTCATAATCAGTAACCCCATAGTTGTAAGTCAACTCCAGCACAGCATTTTTATCTTCAGGACCATAGCCCATCATAGCTATTGTATACTGAAATTAGAAATCACGGGTCTAAGTCAGGAAGATAAAGGTTAAGACATATATAAAATACCAATTACAAAATAAGTTCACATGAACAGATTTTTATTTCATCAATAAAACTATAAAAATATTTTAGCCATGAAATAAAATATTCAAGAATAATAGAAAAGAGGAAACCTTATATTCTGTAAATTTCTAATCTATTGAACAAGAGAACCAGGTCAAGAAGTGGATACCTTTTCACACCATGCTTGTATTAATGTTTTAGTAAAAGTTAAAGCTATTCTGCATAGTTAAAATCTGAGGAGAAAGGGTAGAGAAGAAAAAGACACTAATTACTCAGAAAATGCACTTATAAAGCATAGGATTAGCACATAATGGATCATCAGTCTGAAAGAAAGTTGCTTCTTTCTTTCCAAATGTTACTCAACAAAAAGTACTTGTAAGATCATCATGATGTGAGAGTGAAGTGACAACAAAACATTCTAGTGAGAATGTGCATAGAAAAGACAGCTCTTCCGTAACCTGAACTCTTAGGATTAGCAGACCCCCACTCCATCTTTCTTCTCCCCCATTACAAGTTTTACCAGCTCTTACTTAGCAGTACTTAACACTAAATAAATGACAACAGTAATGTGTTTAAGTTAATTTACCTTGTACTCTGGATTATCTATTTTGCACAGAAGTTCCATGCCAAAGGCCTATGTGAGAAAAGGGATACACATTGAGAGGAATTGAAACATCATAAGAAACATAAGATAGCATGTTCATGCAACCATGCAAAAGACTAATAAGTAAAAATGGATATATCATTGCCCAATCTTTCTCAAAACAAGTCTCACCTTCTCATAGAAATTTATGGAACGATCAAGATTGCTAACACGAAGCATTACTTGACACAGGGGTTCAGGTGTAGGCCCCCTTTCAAGAAGTTCAAACTTATAACCATCGGGATCTTCAATAAATGCAATTACAGCACTGCCACCTTTGACAGGACCAGGTTCTCTGGTTACTTTTCCACCCTTAGCCTTTATAAGTTCCACGGTCTTGGCAACCTAATGAGAAAAGGATATATTAACAAGCAAGCAACCTTTATTAACCAATAAACAAAGCATTCTAAAGGAAATTTACAGATATCAGTAAGGAGCCGATGAACAGAGCAACAAAACAGAAATATAAAGGTCTGTTGCCTATTAAAAGATTCAAAATAACATAATTGAGGGAAAACCTTGAACTTACATCTTCAACAGCTATACCAAAATGACCAAATCCAGTTCCAATATCATACCTGTCAACTCCATAATCTGGTGGCAACAATTCAATGAAAATGAAAAAAAATCAACTGCGTTCATTGGTAGTGCCTTGTTTAATATTGTCGTAATCTATCAAATGCTTCATGAGTAGTTTCAACATTTAAGATATATAATGGTTCACCAAAGAATGGTGCAGTCAGATGGCATACTGTAGGTGAGTTCAATGACAAAGTGACTATCTTCCGGTCCATATCCGAGAAAGGCATTTGTGTATCTCTCCTCTGGTATATCCCTTTTTCTCAGCAGCTTCATTCCAAGACATTCAGTGTAGAATCTGCACTTACCAAACATTTTCATTTGATAGAAAGATTCAGACAACATTCTTGTTTAACAAAATGTTAAAACGCTTGACTCATTAAGCACAATAACCATATTAACAAACTATATCGAAACAGCATTAACATACTTGATGGTTCTGTCCAAATCCCCAACACGATAAACAACATGAAGCATTCTTCTTTTGTCCTGTTTGACCCACTCTAAGAAGTTCTCTTGGGTAGCAGACGTGCTTGCTTGTACCACCCCGCCCTGTTGCATTCTTACCCTGCTACTCTCCGCTCTCAACAGCCTAGAAGCTTTCAAACCAAAACATTGCCAGGGTGAAACAGCTGAATAACACAAAAAAAATCATCAAATCTATTCAAAATTCATACATACAAATCCATATACTAATTCCAAAACATCACATATCAACTGCATTACAAGCAGGAGTTAGATATCAGAACCTAAGCAATCCATCTATTATTGATAGAATAACTTCACAAAATAGTTGAATTTCAGAAATCGGAAACCAAAAAGAAATTAGAGAATCATTATGAGATTCTAGGGAATAGAAAGTCTCACCGCTACCGAGATGAGAGAAAAAGAGCCTGCGAGGAAGGTGAAATGGAAAGAGTGAAACGCCGGCGAAACGCGAGGTGGCGGAGAACCTAAACGACGATAGAGAAGGTCGTATTGAGGCGGCCATCGGAATGATCCTCACCATAAAGGTGGAAAGAAAAGCTGAGTACAAAAATCCGCTCAGTGAGATACTCCGGAGGCGTCGTCAACCGGAGCTGCTGTGCGTGGCAGTGGAAGAGAGTGAGGAAAATTGGAAATTTAAAGGAAAAGGGAATAAATGAAAAAGAGAAAGGTGTTTCTTTTTCCAACCACCTAGTACTAACAATCGAGAGATTATTTTATTCCGCTCGGTAAGATAAATTAAAAAATTTAAAAGAAGGTTATTTTTTATTATGGATTTATTTATTTTATATTTTACGGGAATCGGATTAAAAATAATTATTAATTAATAAATAATTATTTTAAAAGACATAAAATTTTAAATAAAATAACAAATTTTAATTTTAAAATAAACAAGTAAAAAATTGATACATGATATTTATAATTAAAATAAGAGTGAACTTTATTATTTTTTGTCATGTGCTCTTAAAAATATAAGATAATAAAATTAAATAAAAAATAAAAAAAAATCCAAACTACACTTGTTATATAAAAAGTGTCTTAAGTTAAATTATAAAAATATTTTTTTAATTTAATTGTATAATAAAAAATAATTTTCTCATATCTTTTATTATGTAATATAATTTAAATTTAAAATTTTTTATTTTTAATAAAAAGAGATTACCTATAAATTATTTAAGTAATTTTTTTGGTATACAAATTATTTAGGTAATTAGTAAAATAAATATCTTAATAAATTAAAAATATAATTTAAATTACGAGAAAAATGTATATCAATTTTAATTTTAAAAAAATTGAAGTACTAATTATAGATTACATTATTTTATTTAATTAAAACTTAATTAATAAATTCATATCATAGATTATATTTTATTAAAAATATAATTTAAATTATAATATATTAATCCCTTATACTTATTTTACCTAATTCTAAAAT